AGACGGATCGTGGTGTGCCAAACTCTGGAAGTTTATTTAAGTTTCTCTCAAGTTCCACTGGTTTACTCTGTTTCTTTCTCTCAGACAGAATAAAGGCAGTACACAGTTTATATACAGTAGTCATTGTCACGTCACACATCGAAAGACATACGTGTCACAAAGAGACAGTCAAATCATAGTCATAACATGGAGTCCTTGTAGAGTCCTTGTACAGTCCTGCACGTAGGCCATATTGCTATCTAATACTAATAAAACTATTATTTCCATACATTAATAGTGAAGAGTGTTAATTCAACACAAGTTGTCACATGCACAGTTTGCTGAACCATTTTTCAGCCTTAATAAAAACATTGCCTCTGACAATGTTTGACAATCTTCTGGAAGACGGGTTTAAAGACAGATTTTAGCTGTATGTCACTGAGATGCATCCGTGTTTTCCATGTTTGGTCCAAACTGTTAGCACAGCCAGCACAGTTTTACTCTGTACCTATGTGACAGAGTGTTCTTCAGGACAATGTTATTTATTCCCAGCACTTCATGTAACGGGCCATGGTGCATGTCATGTAAACAAGATCCACTGAAGGGGAAGGGAATCGTATTTGTATAGCGTTTTTATATGACACAAGTCACACCCAAAGTGCTTCACACATGAAAGGGAGGGGGGTTCATTCACTCCATGCTGATGGTGGTAAGCAGGGCTGGACTGGGACAAAAAAACGGCCCGGGCATTTTTTCCTTTTTGGCGGCCCAGGCAACTCAAAAGGTTCAAAGAGCCCTATTTGACAAAAAAAAAAAATAACAGCGTTGCATAAGGCTTATATGAAGGTAACAGGGGCTGAAGCTGTATTAGCTACATTAGCTATATTAGCTATATTAGCTATATTAGACTAATATCTAAATGACAAAGTAAAGGCTAAACACATAAAAACCATTCATGATTATCAAATGTGTATTTTCACTGCAGCGTGTCCTGGAGAGAATGACGCACCACGTGACAACTCTGCTTTAACTTTAACTTCCATTTTTTTTCCTTCATGCAATTGTACAAATAGAGTAAATAAATCTGTTTTTTGGCTCCGAGTTCACCTGCATTATTGTCTGTTCATATCCATCACGTCACAGGTTGAAGTTTGCTGGAGCTGAATGTCCTTAATGGCCTTTTCTTTCACCGTCTTTGCGAAGGTGTTTGAAGTCTGAAAATAGGTGCTCTGACTTTATGATGAATGAATCCTTCAGTGAACAGTGTTTAAAGCTTCATTGTTCCACCTGTTGCAACAAAACTTTTCATTACATCTCAAACATGAAGCAGTCCTTCCTCACTGACTGAAAGCAAATGTTCATTCTCATTCTTAGTCCAGTCTTATCGACGCTCTCTCTTTATCTTTGGGATCCATGCGCACACACAGTCTATAATGCACACGCCGCCTGGCACTTTAGGGGCACTAAAGGTTGCCGACCCCTGGTTTATACAGTATGTGGAAGCAAATACTGTAGAGGATCAGGATCTCTCCAGTTTCAACAATAAAATACAGTAGAATAGTCTACATTAAACAGAGTAATAAACATGTCTCAGAGTGAGGGAGGTGGACACAGACAATATTGTTTGTTACAGGGATGAGAATTGGTAAAAAATTCTGAAATGCATAATGTCAGCCATTGGCTGCAGCTCTAAATCTGTTTAATCTGTTCACAACATTTTACTTTTGGGCTCAAACATGAACTTTTAATGCAATGGAAAATTTAGGTACCCGAGCTTTAATTTAGAGGAGAGGGGAGACGCGGACTGTTTCCTGCAGCGGTGTATTTATTGGGTGCACAAATTACGCAAAAACATGCATGGTCCTGTGCACGTTTATGGTCTTGGGTACATGGTCACGTTGCGGCTACGCACTCACCGTGTCGTGTTGTGAGCGGTTCCCGCGTCCAGCTCAGAGCCGCTGGATGCGGGAACACTGCGGCCGCTGAGGTGGTGGAATCCCGTTCCAGTACATGCAGCAGGAGCCCCGCGGACACGCGCGCCCCCTCGAACATTTCTCAACGGATTTACACTTTTCACAAACATCTTTTTTGTATGAGGCAAACAGACCGGCCCAAATATGGGCATCGGCCCTTCTGGCATTGCCCGGTACGCCCGATGGCCAGTCCAGCCCTGGTGGTAAGCTACATTTGTAGCCACAGGTTCCCCTGGGGTAGACTGACAGAAGCGAGGCTGCACACATCTGCGCCAACGGTCCCTCCGACCTGAAAGGTGATCAAGAAGCTCTGTAACACAAAAAAAATTAAGAGGATTATATTCATATCATAATACAAAGGTTTATTTGAATAAGAGCTGCGTGTCAGGGTGACAGAGAAGGACCAGTTGTTTGTTATATGCACAATATCATGTACTTCTTGCATACACAGCAAAATTGCGAGTGTTAATTTAACTCCCATAGTGTTAATTTTAACACTTTTTCTGAGTTTATATAGTTCTCACTGATTTTGAGTTAAAATTACACTTTTCAAAGTGTTAATATTTTAACTCTTTAATAGTGTTAAAATTTGACACCCTTGGTGTTGTTTGATGACACCACAGAAGTGCACTTTTAACTCACAATTGTGTTATTCCCTTTCACCATGAGTGTTAATTTTCAACATACAGTGTTATTTTATGACACATTAAAGTGTAGTTTTAACACTAAAATTGTGTTATTTACTTTCACCATGAGTGTTAGTTTTAGCATAGTGTTATTTTAGGACACTGAAAATTCTTGTAGTCAGCTGCTAGGCTACAGAAAGTTTAAATGTGTGACCAGCAACAATGATCGAGTAATAAAACATACGTACATACATGTCTTTCATTTTTTATTAAACAAAATGAATAACTTCCCAGCACCATATAGGGATTAGAACAATAAGATCAGGCACAAGTTAAAACATTTAAAAAGAAAATAATGGCACAATATATTGGCTCTCATCTCCACCATAAGCACTTTGTAAATCAAAGGGCTTATAAATCACAAGACTATCTGCTTTAACAACATCTTTGTCATTACTTTCGAAGACTTTGTAAGCATGAAAATGTTCATTGAAATGGTCAACCACAAGCTTGTTTACAAGGAAGCAGATAACACTGTCAACAACAATAATTTTTTCTATTCTGCAAAACACAGGCATTTCCTGTTCAATCTCACTGCAAATTATTAGTCCTGCCCTGTACAGTTAGTTGCATGGATGTTGCATGGATGTCTTGCGATACAGACTCAACATGCAAAGCTCGAGCCAACACATCTCCATAGTCCTCATTGTCCACATTAATAGATTTCATTGGTCCATACTCAATACATTTTGAACGTGATGTCTCCCACTGACACGCAATAGACATTTGATGTTTTTTTGCAAGAGATTTTGTGATGTTTTTGAAGTTTTTAAGAGTATTTTTGAAAATCCGATGTTTAGCCTCAAATCTCATGCTCCACATATGTATTAGTGGTCCAATTTTCCGGATACAAGATGGATAGTGTATCATAAAGTGATGTTTCGGGATCAGGTTTCTATTAGGATACAGTGCTTTGAACAACTCATGATGTTCCATTATCAAATGCTTGAGAAGTACAGTCATGCCAAGTGTAACAGATGGAGAAAATATAATGTTAATTATCTGCAGTAAAAGCAGCAGCAAAAACCAGTTTTGGTTTCCTTCTTGCACAATGTCACCAAAAAGCAGAGGAATGTTTCTTACAAGACAAAGGGTCTGAATGGAATTGAGCCCTATATTATTGCCACTACTGTCCAAGTTAATCCTTGTAGGTCGATTTTTGCGCTCCACGTACCCATAGTCAAAGGCATAAATTCTAGACAACAGGTCAGGTTTCGACAAAACATTTTCGGAGAGATATTCCAACAGTAACTTCAGCTCAAACTGAGCCACGCCTTCAAGAATGTCATGCATAATATCCAAAGAAAAATTATGACTGACATGAAAGAACTGTAGGCTGTTTAGACTCGAGTTCTTTTTTAAACCAAACACAGATAACTTCTGTGGGTCTGACTGCAACTCATTGTAGTGCATTTCAAAAAGTTCCTTTCCACGCAAGATTATCTTGGGGTCATCCTCATTGTAAACAATCTGGGCATCATGTTTTTCTATCAAACATAAACGACAAAAATAGCGTCCGTTGAAAGACTCAGTAAATCCCAAAATTGCATGCATACCTAAGTTGTCCCCGGTTATCTGACATATGGTGCCATGAACCTTTTCAGCAGAAAATGGCAAATCTAGGCCACAACTCTCAAGTGTTTTGATGTCATTAATCAGTGGCTCTAGAATAGGATTAAAGCCATATTTTTTTCAAATCTTCAGTGTGAAACTACGGAGCCCCTCTGATGACATGGTAAAAAAAAAATTATATTGTGGCCACAAAATAACTAATTTGTTCCCTCAAATTACTAATTTGTTCCCTCAAAATACTAATTTGTTCCCTCAAATTACTAATTTGTTCCCTCAAAATACTAATTTGTTCCCTCAAATTACTAATTTGTTCCCTCAAATTACTAATTTGTTCTCTCAAATTACTAATTTGAGGATCACGACTCATTGACAAAGCTCTGGCACAATTGTGTTTCATGCCAATCATTCAGGTAAATAATAACAATAATAATGATAATAAAAATATACAATATTATGATCAAAGCAAGAAACCCAGAAGCCGTACTATCAACTCTAAATTACATATGTAATCAGAGATTGAAGACACTGAGTTTGGCTAATGTGTGTGATATATTGATTCTTTAGACTGTGTGGAAATAATAATAATGTAGTAATAATAATAATCTGAACGTTATTTAAGCTACTTACAATTAGTTTTTCTTACTCAATGCAAAGGCAGTGAATAAAGAGGAATACAGTTCACTTATTATAGACGTTATTCACTCCTTAAAAATGCACTGTATGCCAGCTGTGACTTAATGGTTCTTGTTTCTTCAACAGGAGGTATTAAATGACATCCGGGGTGTTTGGAATGCTCACCTCATTAGGCCCTCCAAGAACACCAACGTCCCCAGTGGGATACCTGATGTTATGTACATAGCCCCTCACCTTTGGGGTGCGGAAGACTGTCTTGTTCCACTAACTGAAGATTTGACCACATGTAGAGACAGCTGCACTTTTATCAGTTCAGTCCCATGTGATGTGGACGTGTTTGATTTGTGCACAATAATAATGGAGGAATCATTCTTGGAGTTCCCATCTACCATGTCCCAGGCTCTTGATTTATATTTTCATTTGAGGGACACACTTCGTCCACAGTTATTTGAGGCTATTTAAATGCAGCCCGCGAAAATTCAATTTGGTAGACGTTAACCAAAATTAACCCCTCCAGCCCGGCTCGCATCCCCAGCCTATCGCTCAGCAGACGCCCCCTTCCAATCATCTGTACCGACTCGCAGCCGCATAAAAACGGAGAAACTCTCACTTCTCGACCTCTGAAGCCTTGCAAGGAATCGTTTTCGTCTACTCACGCTACTCGTGCGCGTGGCCCGGCTGTTCTCAGTCTGGCTGCTTGCGGTCTGCCCTCCTCCGCGTCCCGGCACCTGCTGTGGTTCGCGTGTTTCCACTGCTCTTCTCCACTGCTCTCCTCCACTGCGGGCTCTTTCTGCGGGCTGCTCCGCGGGGCCCTCCGCGGGTTCTGTGCTGTTGTTCCTCGTGGTCTGCTGCCGAGCGCAGACGGTCTGGCGGTGCCACATTGTCCCGTTGCTTTCCCCAAGTCTCCTGGCATGTGAGTGTGCTGACCGCGGACGGATTAATCCCTGAGTCTGGGCTGCAAGGTTGGTTTTTCGCCCTGTACTTGGTCTGCAGGCTTCGTTTCCACATGTGTCTGAGCTAACTGAGGGGCAATGCATGTTAAATGGCGTCTATCTCTATCGGCTGAGGGATATAAGAGGAGCAATGTGATTAATTCAGATTCATGTTCTGCCACTGCAGTAAACCACGTGGAAAATAATTTGCAAGACTACCCCACTGTGCTCCAGACGGCATGCACCAGAGCTCTGCCACGGCGCCATCTTTACAGCTTTAATCTCATTAATCGCAGGTCACTATGATTGATGATCGTAATAAATTCATCTATCTGCGGGAGGAAGGAGGGGCCATGCTTTTAAATAGCTAGGTCACTGGTATTAAATTAGGTAACTAAACTGCAGTGTTGCATTTTGAAAGTGCAGCGGAACGAAAAAGGGCCCAACGTGAATCTGCAATGGGCGTGAAGTGGTGTTGGAGCTATGAACGCATGGAAAAGTGATCGTTCATGCGTATCTGCCATAACCATAGCAGCAAGATGGCTCCAGGGGACGTCTGTTATTCGCATGGGAATGTTTCGGATTCGGGTTGATTTATTTCCTCAGGCTGTTTAACAACCATGGGCATGGTTCTCTGACCGCCGCTGCTGCGGTCCCTGCTGCCGTTCCTACTGATGCCTGATCCCGCTGATGCCTGTTCCTGCTGCCTGTTCCTGCCGCCGCCCCTGCTGCTGTCTGTCCCTGCTTGCCTGCTCCTGCTGCTCCTCCTACTACATTGCCGCTGCTGCTGTTCCTGCCGCTGCCGCTCCGCAGGCTTCCAGGCTGCAAGAGAAATATTTTTTCTACAACCACAGAAAATTAGCATTTTGACTCAGAAGAATTTATATTCCTGTCCCTCTGAGGAATTTTGCGCCATTACCTTAGGTCAGATGACCTAATGTACTTCTTTCCGTAGGAGATCTGATAAGATACAAATACAGACTTTAGTTTAATTTATTATAGTAGTTTTCTTTTATTCATGTACTTAAGACTAGTCTGAAGTAATCCTTGTTTCCTTTGGGGGCAGCCAGTCCAACTTCACAGTCATTGAAAAAGGCATTCCACAAGGCTCCTCACTTGGTCCTCTTCTCTTCTCTATCTTTATTAATGATCTCCCGACTATCTGTTCCAACTGCATTATTGAACTTTATGCTGATGACACTGTTATTTACTGTTCCAATTCTAATATCCCTGACATCTGCAACTCTTTACAACACAACTTTGACATTGTTCAACACTGGCTCCTTTCTAACAAACTTCTGCTCAACAAAACCAAATCCTACTCCATGCTTTTCAAGAAGACCAATAAACCTCTCCCCGATTTAAATCTCCACTTTCTAGATCTGTCCCCAGTCAAATGTGTGGACAACCTTAAGTATCTTGGTCTTTGGCTAGACTCAAATCTTTCTTTCAATACCAATATTCACAAAACTGTACACAAAATTAACTATTCACTGAAAACACTTTATCAATCCATTGACTGCTTTAATTTATCTGCACGGAAAAAGATTATTTCACAACTACTACTTCCCATATTAGACTATGCAGACATAGTTTATCAAAATACCACCTCCACTTCTCTCCATCCTCTGAACACTGCCTACAACAGCCTGTGCAGGTTCATTCTGCGCTGCCCCTACAGGACCCATCACTGTGACATGTACCAGCAGCTGTCCTGGTTCTCTCTGTCCCAAAGACAGAGAGAACCTCACTCACTCTCACTGGTTGTTTTTCATTTATAAATGTTATTTGTTGGATTATCCTCTTTATTTAAAGCAATATTTAACCCCTTTTAATTCCTCTTATAATCTTCGTCACACATACCAGCTTTTCTTTCACACTCCTCGTGTGAAAAAAGAACTTGGCAAATATGCTTTCCAATATAAAACCCCAAACGACTGGAATCTCCTTCCGGCCTCTGTTCGCTCTATAACTTCTTTTTCTCTTTTTAAAGTTGCTGTACAAAGGCATCTGTGTAATCTTTGTAACTGCTACTGAACTTTCTTTTAAATATTATATCCTTTGGTTTTCACTGTCCTAGTTTGAGGAGTAGGGTGACCTCTGACCTCTGAGAGCTCTGTGTGTGTGTGAGTGAATGTTTCTGTCCTTGTATTGTTTTTTTGTCTGTTATTTTATTGAATTTATTTACTGTAATTTGTTATGTTTTTTATTTGTTACACTTTACTGTAACTGCATTTATTTGACAACCGCTGCTACTACTTGTGTTGCTATTTTTGAGGACCCTCCTGAAAACGAGATTATGCATCTCAAGAGGCTATTCCTCGTAATAAAGATATGTTAAAGTAATGTGTGTGACTAGGGCACGACCAGGAGCTGACCCACTGCTGCACTCACCCTACCCAGCGCCTGGTGGTCACAGCGTCGCGGGACACTACCTTCAGACTGTGGGACTTCAGGGACCCCTCCATCCACTCTGTCAACGTGTTCCAGGGCCACACAGAGTATGACACAACACACTCACATGCACATACAAATACACAATGAAGAGCTGTGAGCTAAACACACACTCACAGTTTTCCGTTATAAACTGTGTGTGTATGTGTTTGTACACCTGTGTGTTTGTACACCTGTGTGTTTGTACACATGTGTGTCTCTGTGTAAACGTGTGTATGTGTCTTGCAGCACGGTGACCTCAGCTGTCTTCACTGTGGGAGATAATGTGGTCTCTGGCAGCGATGACCGAACAGTCAAAGTGTGGGACCTGAAGAACATGAGGTCTCCGATAGCAACCATCCGCACAGACTCTGCCGTCAACAGGTGAGGCTGTTACTATGGCAGTCATCGGCTCCAAACCGGACAGCGCACAAGAGCCACGTGTCCTTGTAGCACACAAACATTTAAACAAACAGGGTCACGATGTCATTACTTTGACATGTTTGGAGGTTAATGTGGCTACATCCACAATTAGTCCAAATTCTTCTAGTTTTAGAAACATTTTCTGTAACCACGGAGTCAGCTCAGTAAATGTTTGCATCCACTATGCCAGGCCTGTTTGTGGCACTATGGAGCACTAGGATCAAGACCAGATTTCTGTGAAGGGATCTAATATCCGATAACAGCAGCTTCATATGAAAGGAGCTATACCCGTTTCTGCAAGGTTTGAATGTTTAGTACAAGCCCCCCCACTCGCTCAGAGGATTTGCATTTCCCCTACGCTCTCATTCCACAGTGCCATCTAGTTTTATTTGCGATCTGATACATATGCTAACATTAGCATTAGCGCAACTTAAGCTGTACAACAGTCACTGATGAAATGGTACAAAAGCAACGCACTGCCAACAAAATATATAACTGAAAGATTACCGCCATAGTTCCGCGTCCGAATGTAATCCGAGCATAGATAGTCCGAGGCAGTCCCGCAGGTCTCTCCCATAGACAAGTCTCTCCTGAGGATACGGTGTAAGCTAGCTATGTTCACCTGGGCTTGATTTCTTCTTTGATCATTTTTCTGCTTTATTTCCCTCTTCTCTTCCTCACTGTTGTGTCGTTTGGGCTGTGTTGCTGTGTTTGCAGTTACAGCAAGAGGAGTTATAGCCAATTCTGCTAACATGCTACGGTTTTTAGCATCGCTGTAGAGGCTAGAGGACGGCGCCTTGTTCTCTGAGTGGAGGAGAGCCAGCGGCCCGCTAAAAGTTATCTCAGCACTTTGAATGGCCTAAATTCATGCTTATACTGAATCAATGAGCTCCAGTTTTTAATTAAATTACAGTTTTTAATACAACTTGTATGTAGTTATACGGATTTTTATAACTCAATAGAAAAAAAATCGGGTATAGCTTGAACACCGGCTTTGTATGAATGATACACTGGTCTCTCTCTCTTGTCTCTTTCTGGTCTCTCTTGTCTCTTTCTGGTCTCTCTCTGGTCTCTCTCACAGCTCTATGTTTTGCTGTAGGATCAGTGTATCCATGAACCAGAAGATCATCTCTCTCCCTCATGACAACCGGCAAGTGCGGCTCTTTGACATGTGCGGCGTGCGGCTGGCTCGCCTCCCACGCAATAACCGAGAGGTGAGCTCCACACACCCGCACACAGATAAACACATTGACACACGCACTGACTATGATGCTATTGCAGGGCCACAGACGTATGGTGTGCTGCTCGGCCTGGTGTGAAGACAGCTCTCCCTGTAACCTGTTCACCTGCGGCTTTGACAGACAGGCCCTTGGCTGGAGCATCAACATCCCGGCCCTGCTGCAGGACAAGTGAGCCCTCTCCACGGGTTCCTCTGCACGGCCCCCACTGCACGGGACCTTCAGCACTGAACCCTGAGGAGCCCAGGGCAGAGACACACAGAGGACGTACAGGAAGAGCTGTTGCTGCGCTCTGATGAGACTGTTGACTTTTATTTGTTTGGATTCTGTTCTGATGAACAGAAAATGCTGATACAAAATGTTCCAAAGATATAAACGTGATCTTCACTGTACAGTAGACAAAAGCACAATAATATGAATTAAAGCCGCAAGAGGCGTCGAACGGCCCTAGTGGCGCCGTTGGATGTGGAGCAATTTTCAGCCAAATCGGTGGTTGGATGTTTGTGCGAGGTTTATATTTGCCATCAACTCAGAATGGGGAGCATTTGACGTTGCCACAGCAACAGGGTAAAAAATAAGTCTTGGGTGTAATTGACTTTTTGGAGGGCAAAATGTAATTATGTGCAAATTTTCAAACATTTTGACAAAACTAAATGTGATAGGGCTAATGGGCCAATTTGAAATATTTAACTTTCACATGACCTAGACCTTGGAGTTGAGAAATGGATTCAAGTTTTGTGCAAATCCGACTTTGTGCAAAGGGGAACAAATTTGCTATTGTCAAAAATGGCACAAAAAAGTAACTTTTTTCCGCTCCGCTACTAGAACAATGTTTCACTGATCAAAATTCTGTGAAGTCAAAATGATGGTACATAATATTAGACAATGTGGAGCGATTTTGAGGCAAATTGATGGAACGGATCATTTTTACATTTTGCAATGGAATTTATGGGCTTCCTGGGCCAGGGGGCGTGGCGTAATAATACAAAAAATCATGTCTTGACTTGAGGAGTACGTGTACCAAATTTCGTGGCTCTACAACAAATTTGATCTCGGACCCTCTCCCAGAGGCGCAATGTAAAATTACTTTTGTAGGGTGCGCTGTTGTGGCATTTTGTTAGTCCCATAAAAATAAACACCAAAAAACTACAATAACTGCTATAACTGAAATATTACTATGCTATAACTGAAATATAACTATGTTATAGACAACATAGCTATGTTATAGCTATGTTGTCATTTATTCCATTCAAACAACCATTTACAGATACATATGGTATAATTTTGCCAATAGTTCAAAATTAAGTATTTAAGAGATCCTTTATTCGTCCCACAGCGGGGACATTTCAGTGTTGCATCACAAGTTATAGAACAGTAGGAAAGGGGAGCCCACAGCAGAAGTTATTACTAGAAGTCCCGGCTTTTTTGGCGCCCAGTTTAGAAGATGAGAAGCTAACTTTCTACTTTGGTTGCTAACATTTGTCTTGATTTGCAAATTAGGTAATGACCGAAAACAGCAGGGGGCTGGGGTGGGCTTTGTTTTAATCGTGTGGGGGAGGAAGAGTTGCGAATAAAGCCTAGTGTATACTCGCGCGGCGCGGAGCTTACGGAGGTGACGTGACGTCACTTGCGCAACGCGTTGGTCACCGCAAGGCCCTTACGTTGCCTGCCGCCCAGCATCCAAATTTTCTAACTACGTAAGGGTCGCCGCAAGGAATCTCCGCTGTGATTGGTCCTTGTGTGTGTTTTGGACGGAAGCACGGAGCGGCTGCAGCAGGGACATGGACGAGGCACTATGGAGCAGAGACCTTCACGCTTCGAAGGAAAAGCAGTTTGGGCTCAGAGCCTGATATACAGGAGACTGTGGACTATCTAACATATATATAACTCATAAACTGTGCAGTCGTTTGTTTTGCACTGTTCCTGTCTTTGTTTGAATCGTAGCTGTGTTTGTTGCTTTCCTCCTGCACTCGTAAATCGTTCATGGTTGTTTGTAGATATTTACCACTATTGTTTTGCTGTTTGTGCTGAAAACTATTTCATAATAACTGTTTCCAACAAGAACTGTGTCTTTATTCACAGCATCACAGTTGAAATGACTTATAAAATAATGAATCCATAAAACTATCACATAAACCTACAGTAGAAACACGTGTAATGAGCTCAAACAGCTTTGTTTGCTATTGTTGTACTGAAGAGGACAAAGTAGCAGCGTAAATGGGACCGCTCCTGTGTGATCGCCCTCATGTGGTTTGTTGTGGGATTACAAAATTCTCCTCAAAACTCCGTAAGGGGAACGCGCCAGGATAACATCAATTGTGCTTACGTAGGTCCACCGCAACCGCTAACGTAAGCCACGCCGCGCAAGTATACACTAGGCTTAAGTGGTGTAGAGTAGAGAGTGGTCTGTGAGACAATGCAGAAAAGAGATGCCATGGCAGTCCAAGGACTGAACCTTGAGAATGAATATACTGTATATATTTTGTAATTACAGTTTTTCTCAGTCGCTTTGGTGCATTTCTCACATCAGACTTAAAGATCTCAAAACTATTAGTTCAACCTCCAGAACATTGAGTCATATGTGACATCATCGCAGCAGTTTCTCCTTTGAACCGATTACAAATGCTTTTGGACATGTACAGTATCAGTTACTTTCATACAATTATCTGCTGTTTATAACATAATTTGCTTCTGTCTTGTCAGTCAAAATGAAACATACTTATGACAAGTTTGGGTATTGGTTGTTTGTCTGGTCTCGGAGTCTGCTGTACTAGACCCGAGTCCGGACTAGCCTAGCCTAGCTTAGCCTAGCCACTAGCCACAATTTTACAAAGACAGTTTCTGTAGTTCATTCAACGACGCCGGAATCTCCACTCTCACTGTAAAATGTAAACTCAAGTGTTTTTGATTGGCCACACTAGTAAGCCATTGTTCCACCCAGCAGCAGCAGTCCCCTAGAGCTCCAGCACGTTCTAGGCCCAAGCGCCTCCAATCGGACCCACGCGCCTCCGTGGCCCCGCACTGAGGGGAGTCCGATGGGTGTGGGCCCTTAAATTTGGTATTAATTAAAATAATAAGCCCATTAGAGTTAGTGCAGTATACCCACATGTAGCTCTCCAAGGAGCCCGCACACAAGTCACCAGGAGCCACAGAGGCCCAAGATGCGCGCACACACGAGCCCTGGACCAAGATATTAAATTGATAAGTGACTATAAGAATTAGATTTATTTTAAATGCTTACCGGTACTACAAGTGGACTGTGTATGCGGTAAAGGGTGCCTGCCCGCGGCTCTAAGAAAAACTAAATTTTAATAAATACTCCAGAACATAAAAAGTTAGAAAACCGGCTCTAACACTCACCAAACAGAGCAGAGCGCTGCACCTGCGGAGGGGTTGCGCAATAGCCACACTCTGTCCCTACTCCACGGCTGTGCCGGGATCACAGACAATCTAAAATAAATCTAAGTTGAATATTGTGCCAAAACAAAGCCACAAGGCCGGCCGCAAGCACTCACCGAGACGCAGATTGAAATAAGCGTGCCCGCTGGGTCACAAAGTTGCAGATGTCAATTTAGATATTTCTGTCATGTAGTCATGTAAGACATTTGTTCTTTACCTCCAGTTCATAAAAGTCACACAAACCACAACTATATACGGTTAGACAAAGAGGTCTGTGCCACTCTCCACAAGCACGTTTGTCCTTGTCCATGTCTGTTTAAAAAAACAAGCGACACAAAATAAAGTCATATAAAGGATCTTGCCCAGACAACCCTCGACACCAAAGCTGAATAACCCACTCCAGGTCGGTTTGTAATGAGAGAACAACAATCTCCATTTAAGGCCAACCAGATATATTTAATTTTGAGCCAGTTCCCTTCACTCTCACACAAAACTCTTTTCAGAATCTGACATTTGCCTTCGTGAAGCCTCTTCTGCAGACAGAGATAAACAAAGTGCATAATGGAGCTGTGTACTGTCTGCCTTTGTGGTCAGGGACCACAGTTTGGGGATAAGCCGCACTCGCTGTGCGTTAGAAGAGTCTTTCCTCTCGTGGATCGCTGATGCTTTTGAATTAAACTGGGTCAGAATTTGCAAGAGAGAAAGCAGGCACGGCTCCAAGTGCTGCTGTTAGTGATGTGGGAGCAGCATAAAGTCCTAAAGCAGTTCACTGGAATCCTGCTCAGAATAACTCTGTCCTGGTGTTAACACAGTTAATACCAAAACTCCCAGTGCCATCATTTTGAATTCTCCCATTCAAACCAAAGACATTCTGAGAAACTCCCCCATAAAGTTTTAATTTCTAAAGTATTTATTTTTACCTTTACTCACTTATAATAAGAGGTAAAACTGGTGAATATGACTTGAAATACAAAAAGGGCTAAATGCTAACTGTAATGTAACTATGGTATCTCTCTCATCTCTGGTGGGAAACCAACCTGAAACAACTCAGAATCAGAACCAGTCCAGGACCAGCACATGGAAAAGTGCTTTAAGTGTGTGTGTCACCAAGCAACCAAAATTGATATATTTGACTTTTACATTCAAATGAATGGATAATCTTAGTGAAGATAAATAAACATATTGCTTTCTTCAAACAGTGAACATTAAAGGGTTAAGGTAAGGTATACTTTATTGTCCCTGAAGGGAAATGTGCCCTCTGCATTTGACCCATCATGGATTGGATCCTCTGGCTGGAGCAGCGATTGGATCAGTGCTGGATTAATGGTCCTAATGTACAATGCTCCTAAGTCCATCCATCCATCGACTTCCCCTTAATCCATTTCTGGGTCGGGGGTAGAGGTCAGAGCTGCACCCAATTCACATAGCACCAGCCCCACACTGATCCTCCTTCAGGTGGTGAGTCCACAGGAGGATGGCTGCTCTGTTAGTGAGAACATAGCCTTCCCACATCAGTGGGAGTCGGTGGAGAAGGTCAAAGGCCAATGCTCTACCAGAGCAACTGTCGCTCATATGCTCATATGTGTTTGCTGTTATTGCATTTCCTGTGTTCACACTGTTTGAATGTCTGATTTGTTGGTGAGGCTTTGACAAGTTTGTATAGTTCTCATAGACACCTGCTGTTGTCCTTAAGGGCTATACACAAATATAAGGAATTTCAAATAACATATAAGTGAAGGGTAACCTTTCCACGAGTAATTCCATACTCTGCCACCA